AAGCTGCCTGTTAGAATGGTTGAAAGGCCCCGGAATTTGTGATGCCACACTTTAGAAAACAACTTATGTTTCAAATGCTTCAAAGGCTGGAGATTTGCAATTCAGTAACCTATTTTTTGGCAATATCTGTTTATCTGTATATAACATATAGTTCTCTTTTCTTGCTAAATTCATCAGCTCTGAATTGCATATGGGGCTGCAGAATTTAATTATGGAAAATAAGCTTCACATTTTTAGAAGTGAGTTAATTTTATAGTCAAAATTCTAAAACATATATGACAACGCTTACTGTGGTAAGAAATTGGATGACAGTAAATTTTTTGATGAGGGAAATGCATGAGTATGAGAATATTAATTTAATCAGATGTAAGAACTTGATCATTTTTGAAACATACATTGCATGCCTAAATATTGACTTTTAATGCTTTTAACTCTTGTGTTCTAGAGTTTCTCTGGATTCTCATTTTTTTTGTTGCTATTCAAAAAACACATATTCACCTAAAAGAGTTCTGCATTAATTAAGAAGTATGTGATACTTCACAGTCCCCTAAGAATTCTTGCAAATAAAGTTTCAGTCTGTACCATAGGGAAACTTACATGTATTCAGGAAAAATGCACCGAAGGTCACTGCAAATAAGTTCCAAAAGTTTGGTCAAGACAGTTTTTGCCTAAGGGTTTAAGGGGAAAAAATGTGATGCTCTAGATGAAATGTGGTCAAGTCTTGGATAATAAAGGAATCTGTGTGGGCAGAGGGAAGGAGAGGAGAGGTCATGTCAGGTAAGAGCTTGAGCTAGGATGTGGAGGTGAGAATGATGAAAGTACATTCAGAGATACACAGTTAGGTCTATTCAATGAAAAAGAGAAAACACAAACCAAACAGGCTTTAGCAGAAAGAAAATATAGGTTTTACATAACCAGAAAGGTCCATGGATGGGATCTGGCTTCAGTGATGCATAGATTCAGAATTCAGTCCAAGAGTAATTTCTTTCTGCCCTCAGCCTTGCTGCCTTGAGTTCAATTTAGTTTGACATCTGTGGTACCAGGATGTGGGAAACAGCTCTTGACCTCTTATTATCTCAATTCTGAGATCCACTGTTAAGGTGAAGTCCTAGCAAAAGACTCACACACATTCTTCTCACTGGGTTTGGTGCCCATTCTGAGCCAGTCATAGATATTAAGGAATTCAGCAGGCTCATTGTTGCTCCTTGTACAGTCCCACACCTGCCTTAGCCCAGAGGTGGAGTAGAGCCACCTTCACTGGAATCACAGGTTATGGGACTAAGAGGTCCAAAGGAAACTAAGGTGTGGTTAACAAAGGTAGGCAGAGTAAATGGGTGCACTCCTACAAATCCAGTGTCCACTAAAGGGAGACAATCAGCCTCCTGACTGTATAGGATCATTCTGAGTAATAGCAGTAACTAGAAACTGGAAATCTGTACTGCAAGCACATTGTCAAGCATAATACAAGGAATTGCCCTATATTAAGAATTGTAAATGAGTCAGATCTTGTGCAAGTTGACCTGTCAGTGGAGTGCAGCACGTCCAAGGCATTAGGTGCTCTGGAGACAAATAGGTGACCTCTGTTGTGTGATATGAACTATGGAAAATGCAGAGATATCTAAGGCTCAATTTGGTCCTTCAAAGAGTCTACAGTGTGGTAAGGAAAACAGTGTCAATCATGGTGTAGGCAGGATGCATGGGGTAGCAGTATATACTAAGCTGTCTAGGAACAGAGAAGGCAAAAGCTTATAACCTGAGGTTACAGGGCGTCCCTGAAACTCATAATGGGGTTAGAGTGAATGGACGTTGGTTTCTGAGAAAGGTTTATTTCTGATGAGCAGCATGGGAACATCCTCATCTCTTGACCTTGATGCTCTCTGTGGCCAGTCTTCTCCTCTTAACGGGAAGGGAGGAGTGAGCTATTGGAGTCCAAGGACTCTGTTTGATTCTATTTCAGTAGACTTCAGAGTACACTGGAAGACTGGTTGGGCCGTGTGCAGGAGAAGTAAATTCTGTTCCTTGTTTAATAGCAGTAGTACAATGTTGGAAAGTCTTATCACATGCGTGGGCCTCAATTTCCCTGCCTGTAGAGACAAAGCTTTGTACAAAAATGCTTCATAAAAGCATCTTTTAACCGTAAGAGTCTCTAAATCCAAAGGAAACAACCATCAGGTTTTCATTTTATGACACGTGATCATGACCAAGATATCTTTCCAAGCGCTCTTGCTGTGAGAATACTGAAGAGCAGATAAGTGAAAGTGAAGGAGCATTTGAGCGTGAGGGTTCAACTACAAAGGCAAACATGTAGAAAGCTGCTAACTAGAGACATTTGTAAGAGTAGGCAGAATTGACCACTTACATGGGAACAGGGCAAGATTCCAGGCAGGAGAACAAGTGAGGGAGAGACTGTTCCCTTATAGCGATTTGAAGGTATGAATGTTAAAAGGAAGGTGATAAGATTACCCAAGCATGGGCTTCGCATAAATACCACCAGCTTCTACACAAACTGAATTAAGGTATTCAGAAAAATGTCCTATTTCAGCGGCTTCAGCCAAGAGTATGACTTGGGATAATTGAATAGATTATCTTAAATATCATAACATTGATGAGTATAAACCAAGAACTATATATGTGAGGGCCCTTACAAATTCAAAGAAAGCCAGAGCGTGGTGGTGCACTCCTGTGAGCCTAGCATTCTGGCTGAGGCAAGAGGATTGTAAATTTGAGCCTAGCCTGGCAATTTAATAACTTATCGAGACCCTCTCTGAAAAATAAAAAGGGGCTGGACATGAAGCTCAGTGTAAAGGTACTGGGTTCAATCCTCAGTCTTAAAAATACTCAAGAAGAATCAAAAGTGGATGTCAGTTTCAATACGCCAGATATTTAATCATTGCATGTGGAGAAGCATTGAATATCCAGACTGTATCAATGACAGCAAAGGAGGGAGGGAAAAGCTCTGAGTTAAGTTGCATTTGGGGGCTTTGTTTAACATTAGTTGACTCTGACCTACATTTATTCATTTTAAAACACTCTCTTAGATCAAATTGTAAAGCAGAAAGATCATCTTCCATTTCTGGAAATCTTACCTGTTTAGAAAGCACACATAGCCACTCATACCTACAGCAACTCTGTAAGGTGTGAAGGAATTATTCTTGATCCTTATTTAATAGATGACAGAAGTGAGTGAAAGGTTCATCTAGCCAGGGACACACAAAGCAGGACACAGAATTTCTGACCACGAGCCATGGGTGTTTTGCTCCCTCACATCTGATTGTCTGTGTTTGCTAGTCAAACTTCAGCCCAATGCCAATGACATTTTCTTCCTTCAGAAAGAAATAGAACTATTTTTTATGACCAGGAAAAGAGTTTATATTACTCCTGGAATAAGTACGGAATGCTTTTTATGTAAGTCGGATTAAATAGACATCTGTTTTCCACAAACATTCAACTCTACACAAACAGAACATGTTCAGTTTGCTTTGAAAGCCAAATACCATGTGTTGTGACTTTACAATGTTTTAAATAAAGTTAGGAATTTAAGTTTATGATGTTGAACATATCATAAAATTGATGGGTATAAGACCAAGAACTGTACATGTGAGAGTTCTTAAAAATTCAACAAGTTGAAGAATCAAAGGTAGACATTTCAACAGACCAGTTATTGAATCATTGTATTAGCAATCTAGTGAAACAAAGTGAATTATTAAAGTTTATACTCCTCATCGGTGGGTAACCCTGGGATTCAGTGTGTGGATAGCTTTTAAAGTGGAACAGTTCAGCCTAACAAAGCCATTTACTGTAGTAGTTCTGCACACTGTGTCTATTTCTTTCTTTATTACTTCATTTTGGGGCTTTGATTGCTCTATTTTAGATCTAAGATCATTCTAATGCTATACAGCAGTTGTATGATGGGCTTAGTTTTCACTTTGTTCTCAGAACTAGGCTGGCCATAAATTTATCTGAGTTCTTTGAAGAAGCTAATAGTAAATTTTCAGGAGGAAAAATGGTGGCGTATATCCCTATAGAGGAAAAGTAATCTCTTAAAAGCAGAATAACCTCCAGGCTACCTCCTTTTAAAGAGGGACTTTAAAACAAGGACCCCTTCAACTTTTATATGTGTTCTATATTTTTCTTCAGGCTTTGTACCTGCTCTTCTGCTTTCTGTGTAAGGTTTCGCTGTAATGACCCTGCTCTTCCCCACACCCATTAAATCTGTGATGAAGTCATGCTGTTCCTCATTCTGATGTCGTAATAACTTCCAGAGCTGCAGCCAGCGAGCACAGGCTGGGAAATTATCTGAGGTTTCCTCAGGAAAATGTAGCATAGAGACCAAGAATTGGGATCCTCACAAAACTGAATCTCCATTTCATATTTGCCGCATAGTAAGATGAAAATGAACTTGGTTAAATGAAATCCATGAGGAAGTTTACATTTGGATTAACTGCATCCAAAGCCATGTTCAATCTCAGGCATTAGTTTCATTAAAATTCAACCAATCCTTCCCTGAGGCTCAGCCACACTCCTCTATCAACAGGTGATAAGATCATTTAAAGTGAGAAGGTGCTAAAGAATAGGGTGAGCTGTGTCCACGTCTGACAGTGTCATTCCTGCTATCCAGCTGCCCTAGGCTGCAGCTTGGTCACCTGCAGGGCATTCCCACACCTCACACATAAAGGACTCAGTCCAAGAGCCACCACAGGTAACAGATGTGGAGCTAGCAGAAGTCTGGACAGGGCTGGGGAGAGTTCTAACCCGTGACATCATCCATCCTGCCTGTGCCTGCTGATGTGCCTGCTGATGTCATGACCAGGTCCTCTACAGAGCTCCGTGTGAGGGAGTAGAGAACTCCCCAAGAGTGGAGACTATTGACCAAAGGGAGCCATCATGGACTGGTTAACTTGGCCAGCATGCCTTTCCAAACTCACAAAGTTCTAGAAATGGTTTCTCATGCCATTTCCCTCTGCCTAATTGTCCTCTTTCTCATTTTATGCCCCTGCTAGACCACCGCTCTTGATAAGGAGAGGCAGGTTTTCCGACGAAGATGCAACCAGGATGTGAGGAGCCGGTACAAGGCGCAGCCAGCTCCGCCAGAACTCAACTCGGAATCCGAAGACTACTCCCCCAGCTCCTCCGAGACTGTTCGCTCCCCTAACTCGCCCTTTTAATGAGCCCCTTTGACTCAAAGTCCTAGCTTAACCCTTTGAGACACTAGATTTTTTTTCCCCAAATTTCTGTAAAACAGTTTCATCTGGTCTCTCTAGCATTCGATGCTCTTGAATAGCAGAACAAAGAGCATGTTTGGGGGTACTTTTGTAGTAATTTCCCTTTACTGAGTGAGACGGCACGTGGAGGTTGTGAAGATGGTAATTTGCCACTAGTAAGGTCCTCAAAGGGTTAAGGCTAATTTCCAATTTTTTTTAAACATAGAAGCAATGAACGTTTTCATTGGTCAAGCTAGGATCTGCAGTATGTAATATAGCACATGTTAACCCTCTTAGTGCAGAGAACTTAACTGAGAATCTTTGCTGAGAATTTTTCAGGCCTTTGGGTGTAGGCGCACATGTTTTTTGATTTTGCTGCAGATCAAGGAGTGCTATTAAGACGCTGAAATGTCCAGACAAGAAAGGCATCTAGAATGATAACTTGATTGTTCTTCTCTGTGGGTTTAGAACACGGCAGGTTTATAACTTCAGCATACACACCCCTCTCTCCTTCACAATCCTATTAAAAAGGGAATCCTTTTTCTTTAGTATAACCATCTGCTGCAGTGAGGTGTGCATTCAAGATGGGCTTGTGACAAACAACCTTACCCAGGAAATTGACAATACGCCCTCCCCCGAAATTGTCTCCCCAGGAAGATGTACTGATATTGCCCCAGGAATGCTGCTTTCACATCAGCTGCTGCTAGTGCCAATGCAGACCCTCAGGGAATCACCACAGCTTGTCTTGTGCTTGGTGAGTGAAGGTCTGTGTGCTCAGTATCAGACATCTACAGGAAAGAAGCAACCAGTGAAAAAGAGCAATAAATTGCCAGGTGCTCTGTAGGGCTGGAATTTCAAAAGAAAGAAGGGATGAGATCGTGTGCTTTTTTCTTACCTGCTTTTTATGATACTGTGGTCATCGCTGTGAAACCCACATCTGTTGTGCAATCCATATATAGAAGAGCTAGGAGGGGGGCAAGAGCTTTTCAAAGTGGCTAAAGAGAAAGCACAATGGAACACTAGCCGGAATGGTTTCAAAGGATATAAACTAATTACTTTTTTTTTTTTTTTTTTTTTTGGTGGAACTGGGAATTAAACCCAGTGCCTTTGGAGTGAGCTGCATTCCAAGCCCTCTTTTACTTTTATTATTTTATTTTGAGACAGGGTCTTGCTAAGTTACTCAATTGCCTGGACTGGCCTCAAGCTTTTGAGATCCTTTTGCCTCAGTCTTCCAGAGTGCTGTGGTTATAGGCGTGCACCACCACACTTGGCTACCTGTGCACCTGTAGGTTACCTGTGTAGTCTCCCAGGAAGGGCAACGTATACTGTTTTAAAGATACCCCTGAGGATAAACTTCTATTCCCTGGGATGATTTTTTTTATACCACTCTGTAGCTGTCCAGGAAGACTTTGTTTTGTCTTTGGACCCAGCTCTGAGTGAGATCTATATTTTCACTTCTATTTAACAAATCTCCAGGCATGAATCTCCAGGCCTGAGTTTGTTCTGGAACATAGGCCTTTTTGACTGGAGGCCTGCTGCTTCCTGTTTACCATGGCAATACTCAGAGAGAAGAATATAAGGGTGTCTGAGGCAGAACCCAACTAATGTCCCCTCTAAAGTTTGCTCAGCTTTGTAACCCAGAAGAACACAGATAGTCATATCTCAAAAATATTTAACTGGATCATTAATGAGCCTTCTTTTCTCAGTTTTGAATATACATTAATATCTGAGAGTCTTGAAATTTCTGAATGACCTTTCTATACATTCTGAATTTTCAAATTCACACTGATTTTCAGCTGCTGCTTTTTACTCTTCAGCCCTTCAACTACAGTCCACATTTACAAAGATTTTAAATCACAACGTGTCATTACCTTTGCAAGGCAGACTCCCACATAGTCTTCTAGAAATGGTAATATATGAAATCACAAAGCAGCATAAATCAGTAAATCATTTGAAATTGGTTTGGGGGAAACAGGGGATGGGACAGAAAACACCAGGAATGATGTTTGTGTGTATAGATAAACTACATATTAGTAAATGGCACTGACCTGGTCAGAAATTGCTGCTTTCTCTGGAAATATAAGCAATGCACTATTCTAAGGTGAAGGAGTAGCTATATACTTGGCCACAACTCTAAGTGTGTGAATGTAAAGAATCCTATAGGTAGAGACCTACTTGCAGTAGATTGTCATGTTCCCTTTTTTTCTCTGAACGACTGCTTTTTCTGTGGGCATTCTATGTGTTGCTATAGCGTCCAGTGTCCAGAGCTACAGTGCGTGGCCTAGACCTTTTTCCACTGAAACCTGGGGCAATGCGAGAGTGTTTCTCAGCACACGCAGAGAGCAGCTCAGAGGAATGCAAGGCCCAGTCAGCTGAGAATCCCAGTGCACTGCTGTAGAATCTGAGTGATCTATGCTGAATAAACAGTGGAATGTGACCTGTCAAGTAGAAATATTGAGTAATCAATGGAATGCAATCTCTCTAGCACTAAGCTACCACGATTTTGAATGTCAGAGATGTACTCAGAGGGTTAACAGACAAGCACAAGGCATGCTGATGTTGGTGTATCCAGATTGCTTTGCTCTTAGCCAGGGCTTTGTAATTTCTTTCTCAACATTCTTGGGATAGTTCAAGTTATAAATAATTAAGTGGTGGTGTTCTTTGAGGAATTTCTAAAACCAAATTGATTTTATTTTTTAGTTTATTTATCATAGAACAAATATGTACAATTATGGCAGTGTATCTCTGTATTATCAATTTAATCATCACCACAAGTGTTTCCATATTTTTTCCACATATTTAATATAGCTCTTATGGTGGAGGGCTGGTAATGAGGACTGTCTTTCTTTTCCTGACACATGATCAGCCCTCTAGTATTTTCAAGGGAATTTTAAGCATCGTCTTTTAAGTTTGATAATAGACTAGTTAAGAAAGAACTCCTTCATTATTTGCATCGTGTAAGTCATCTCTGTAGAGGAGAACTGTTCATATTAATGAACACTTTTTTCTCAACATTGTAGCAGAAATCATTTTATTCATCATGATCAATGAATATGTGATTTGCTCCAGATCATTAGAAGGAAAAATAAGATTTCAGTCATGGAAAATGCTTTTACTGTAGCCCTCATCTAACTCACATGTGGTGCATATTAAAATAAGCCGAGAAAAAGAAATATGAATAAACTACTGAAAACACTTTGTGTTTTGTATTCAATGAGACCTTCCTGCACCTACTCAACCCTCCCATGGGGGAGTGTTAACAGGCCCGTCAGATATTGTTGAAAGAAAGCAGTATATCCATGAATGAAAACTAAAATTGCAATCCTTTACCCTTTGAGGCATATTTCAGTTAGAAAGGAAAAAAAGAAAAATTGACTTAGAGGGTCACGGAGCTACCGTCTGACCAAGGCTCAAGCACATTAAATCAAGGTTGTTTGCTGGCCAGCGGCATCCGTTAGACAACTCTATCCCCTGTGCTGAAGCACGACAGAGCTGAGGGAGAGCTTTCTTAATATTATTGTGTTGCCCCCAGCCCTTCTCTGGGTAAGGATCTGTCAGCATTTCCATGATAAACTCCTATTTTCAAAGGTTTTAATTTAACCATAAAAGTGCGCCCCAGGCTGAAGTTTGCTATCCAGGACCTGTACCAGAGTAAAGGTTCACTTTCCTCTCTTCTCAAATTCTTCCCAGTTTTCCTGAGAAAAGAACCACAACAAAAAATCTGGCATGTTTCCTTAATTGCAATTCCATAATTTTGGAAAGAATCAAGATCCAAGAAGGTAGTTTTAATGTAATTATTCACTTAGATGTTTTTTTTTTCTTCTTCTTTTAAGGAATCACCAGGCATATATTTAGATAGCATCTTTTCTGTAACTTGTAAGTCATTTAAATTAGATGGCTACATTGTTTTGTTCAAAAATTTAAAAAACAACTCAAAGTTGACAGTTCAGGGGTCAGCCTTGCCCACATGTAATCTACCATGTCCATTAGGAGTTTGACAAAATGCTCTGAAATAGACCCTTACTTTGCATGCAGTGTAGAGGGTCAGATATGTGCTTCTTTGGAGACAGGATTGCTTTATTTAATCATCAAATTTCCTGAAGCCATTCTAGTCTGTGGGGGCAAATAATGATTAAAAGCATTTCCAAAATTAACATTTTTCTCAATTCATATACAAGGATAGCATAGAACAGCATTCACACTTTTTTGTTTATTTAAAGGCAAATAAATCAGTGAAACTTAAGGACATGCTAAACATTTGATTGCTGCAAAGTGCTTTAAAAATTGGCTCAATGGTGCTTATACATGGAACAGTTACAAATGGGGTTCCTGAGACTGTCAAAAGGAATCTTTAGCTTGTACGTAACTACACACTAAAGGAGGAGGTGCTTTTAGGCTAGTCTTTTACTTTTAATCATCTCAGATATGCAAGCATCCATCCAGTAACATTAAGGGTCATAACCTGGTGGGAAACAAGATTTAACATAGAGGTTTAGAATGCCTCTGGTTGGGGTGTTTTGGTTTGTTTGTTGTCATTTTTGGCTTAACACGGAGGCTGCAATGATCATTTTTCAGTGAGTGAGCATTTAACTGGCAAGTGGTTTGATCATGAGGTTTGCAATATCTTGCCCATGGAGACAATTGAAAGATCAGGTTTCGTTCTTTTTTCCCTAAAGGAAAAGTAACCTCCAAAATGGAACCATACCTGTAAATTTCTTCACTATTCTTTTTTAATAACTAAACTGAGACCCTTAATGTTGCTTTAATGTAAAAGTGTATATTTTTGTCTGTGATATACTTTATTAATTTAAAGTAATAGTTTTAAAGCTGTCATTGTTGATATTAAAAGAAAGTAGCATTTAAAAAGTGATGTTAAAGATTCTAATGATATCAATTCATTCCAGTCCAATCAAATGTGGTAAGAAATATAGCTTGAACAGTACTCTAGGGACGATTTCTCACTTACCATTGACATTAATCTTTAGTGTATTCTCAGAACAAATGAAAAGAAATTGAAACTGGCCAAGGTTAAAGTCATATCCCAATAACTTTTTTAAAAAATTTATTAGGAAATTAGTAATAGCCTTTTTTTCATTCTGGCTGAAGGAAAATTATGAAAGGATTAGTTGAGTGTGAAATTAAATAGTATTTTCGTCATGCATACTAAAAAGGTGGGCTGGGAACTTGATGCATTTAAACAAGTTTCCGAGAGGTTTCGATGTAGTAGGCGAAAAACTCAATGTTTCCTTTGAAATTACTGAATTTATTACTTGCTGCATGGGTCAGATGGCATAGGTTAATCTTTGATTTTCAGAATCCTAATTAAATAACTTTCAAACAATTTGTATCCATGATTAAAGGTGGAATGAGATCCAACTTTTTCTGAATCCTTCAGTTTAAGCTAATAAATGTAGGTTAATGTGGAATGAAATCATCTGTGATATATTATGTTCATTTATCTACCGAGCTTTTCTGATGTTGCCTGTTTTTATGTAAAACATGTTCTTAAAGTTAATAAAAGAATAGTTCTTGGTGTATGAACTACTATATAATACCCTAGCTGCTGGGTCTGCTCTTTAGTTCATGTTGCCATAATAGAGCGAAACTTCATTTTAGTTCAATTTAGAATGGACGTATTCAGTGCACGAAGGAATAGCCCAGCTGTGTTCTTGGGGAGAATTCTCTCAATGCAAGGCTTTAAAAATTAGTCATGCAGTCAGAGTGTAGCTTTCCCACATGTCCTCCATAGCACAGCGAGTATTTCATGAGCATAATTCAAAAACAACTATTCCAAAAATGTCCCTTTTCATATATTACCTTCCTGCCTGGGCCAGAGACTTGGATAAGCCCAAAGAAATCAGATACCATTCAGCCCTGTTTATCCTTCAACTTCTGTGCATAAGCTCTCCAGAGAAGAGTGTTGTTTTAGCCACTAACCTGTAATTAGCTGCCATTTTTATAGCAATGTCCCATTAGGCATCCCACGTGCAGTATTGACCATAGAGAAAACTGCAAAACTACAAGGGCATAAAGTTCTCTCCTTTTGAGCTTTCTGTGCTAGGAGATTGAAAAGTCAAACAGGAAGAGTGATTGTAAGTCCCCTGGTGTCTTAGGAAGGTGCCAGAATATCCCTAAGAACTTGTAAAAGTCGTAGTCACCTCCCCTGCCATCCACACGTTGCTGTCTCTCCTTTTGTTGTTCTGTACCAAAGACACTGGGTCCTTTCTAGACTTCTGGCAACTGCTGTGAAACAATAGCCAAATGATTGCTTCCCAAGGACAATTACGTTGCTTTATGAGACTGGCAGCCTCGCCAAAAACCTGCCACCAGAAAAATGAGCTTTGACATGAAAACCTCAAACACAACTCTGGGATTGAAGATGATGAAACTGTCGTATATGGAAATTGGGTAGGAAAGATTTTCCACAACTCCCGGCCATTTGGACTGGGAATTGGAAAGGGGGTACTCATTATGCAAAGAGAAGGCAGTTAGAAAGATAGAAGTAAATGGGTTACAAGAAATAAGTGAAGAAGCATCCTGGAAATTTTCTTGTAACATCCCCTAAATGGGAGAAAGGCTTGGCTCTATCTCAGAAGGTAGCCCACTTCCCCCAGATCCAGGAGGAGTGCTAGGAAAACACAGGGTGCCACACCCAGCCAGCTGGACCAGCCAAATCCACGCTGGCCATCAGCACTGTGACAGATGTCCCAGCCAGCTTGTCTGCACTTCCAAATCATTCATTCAAATGTCTCTTGAGTGGATGCCAACACCATGGAAAGCACTTCATTTAGGCTTAAAAAAGAAAAGGAACATTCGGTCGTCCATTTTTATTTTTGCTATGGATCAGAACACTTTAAAGGTAAGAAAAGCATCTTGAGCTGCAAGGTTGCCATTTATGGAGACTTTTGGTTCAGATTCCGTATGCACCCACACCTACTGAGACCTTGTATTTTTATGGCAATTTTGATCTTCTAACTTGAAGGTGTGTATTTACCATCTGCCTGTTCGATGCTACCCACACCCTATGGTGCTCTTGGCCTGGCTCCTGGGCTCAGAGGTAGAAGGTTCCCCAGAGTTTTCTCTGTCACTTGTAATTATCATGAGATTTTAACCTTTTATCATACATTAATATATGCATAATGTCCATCGATCCAATAAGTATTAACATATTAACAAGAACCCACAATGAGGATATACACTGTAAGCTAAGATAAGCAAGGCACAGTTCTTCTCAGGGTTCTTATCCTAGGGAGAAATCGTCTACCTCAGATGTCCACAGGGTAGAGTGACTGATTTATTACTCACAGATGGACGAACATCAGTTTGTCAGGGGCATGAGATCCCCACCATCCTGAGACTGGCTCTCAGCATGTGTAGACTGCAGACTGCCCGTGAGTCAGCTGTCAGTCACACCCAAATACATTTCTGGGCCACTCCATTACAGCAATTCAAGTGTCTCCTTGAAAAAGGAAAAGAAAGAAAAGGAGGGAAGGAGAGAAGGAGGGAAAGAAGAAATAAAGGGTGATAAGACTAAAGTTGCCACAGTCTTAAGACCTGATATATCACGTAGTCTAAAGGAAAAGCACATATTAACTTCTTAACACGGGTTCCTCCAAACTAATCCTAGTAGACATTGTGGGAACTGCAGAGAATGCCTTGGTATGGATTTAATATGGCTCCTGGGCTTGTCCACATTCTTCACTGGAGAATAGTTTCCCCGGTGAAAGATCAATAATAATAAAATACCACCAGTGCTTCCATCCATGCATCCTGCTGGAAGCAGGAGGTGGGACACTTCCCAATAAATTTCTAATTCCTACTTTCCTGTCCATTCTTCTTGGGTCTTCAAGATTGAAGATCCTCTTGGAGGACACACACACACCACCCACATACACATGGAAGGGCATAGCCTGAACCTACAGTACTGAAGAGAATTTCAAATTGGGGAGTCTCCCTCCCCCCAGCTCTGCCTGCCATCTGCCACCTAAAGTGAACCACTTCTTTCCATCTTCAGCAAGTTCCTATCAAGTGTCCATGCTTCTGCTGGGCCCTGAGGCCATAAAATACCTAGCCTTCTCCTCTGTCATGCTTACAGGCTCAGGTGGGGAGCGAGTGCGTGGAAGGTAGCCATCCATCATAACCAAGGCTGAAACAGGAAAAGCGTTCCCATAGAACACTTGGGATTCACTTTGGAACTTACCCAACTGTGATGGGTCATTCACAGGAAACTTCCTGGAGAAGGCACTTGTATTAGTCTGCATTCAGTTGCCAATGACACAGTACACTGAGTGTAATGATGTTAACCTGAAAAGTTTAGAAGTTTAACTAAGGAACTCAAAAGGGGATGAGGGTTCTCACTTTGTAAACATCCTGAGGTTGTGCAAGAGGAGGGCATGGAGATAGTGTGAATGTTACACCCACAGGAGGGTGGGTAGCCTACATACAATAGAAGGGAGAGAAAGAAGCTTGTTCTCCCCCCTCTGGCTCTTGTTGCTTTGCTGTCTTCTGCTGCCATGAATGGTTTCCTCCTCTGCCACACCACCCTGCTTTGGAGGCAGCTGAGTATGGACTGAAGCCTCCACAAACTGTGAGCTAAATAAACATTTCTTTCCTTAATTTGGGGTATCAGATATTTTGTCTCAGCAATGAGATAAAAGTAACCAAGACACTGGAAAATTTATAGAAAAAGGAGGTTTATTTTGTTTCTGATCCAATGTCAAGAAGCCATGTCTTCTGATGATGGCCTTCTTGCTAACAGAGGACCAGTGTAGCCCAGGCCATCACGTGACAAGAAACAGGGAACATATGTCGATATATGTCAATCTTCTGGTCTCTCTTTCCTATGACGCCATCAGGATTCAATCATGGGGCTCCACCCAAATGACCTTAACTAATCCTGAACACCTCCAAAAGTTCCCACCTCTAAACACTATTATTGGATTAAGTTTCCATCCCCATAATAGCTTACAATGAGGATTAAATTTCAACACTTGGAGCTTTGGGGGACTCACTCAAATCATAGCAAAGCCCTGAATGAGGGCCTGGGAGACCAGCGGGGATCAACCAAGTGAAATGGGAGGAAGGCATTTCAAATCCTGGCAACAGCCTGTACAAACACTGGCTCCATGGAGAGGCTCGACGTCGTTAAAGTAGAGGCTTAAAGTCAGTCCCAGTGAGGCTGGAACCCAGGGAGCCGGGCCTCATGAGCCCTCAGCTGACCTGCCCAAACAGCAGCACAGGAACTGGCCCATCCTCTAGCTGTATGAGTGTACCCAGAATGTGTTAGGTAAAGGTGGAAATGAAATAAGCCCAGATGCCAGTCCCCAGGCTGGCTGAGGAGTGCAGCAGGGTGGGTAGCTCCAGGGGAGCATGGGAGACCCCAGGCTTTTGTTGAAATACCCTGGGTCCCAACTGCTCCCTCTCCAAGATGCAGAGGGCATCCTAGTGCAAACAAAGAAACAGCCATATGATATTCCTTCCTGCAACAGGGGACGCTCCTACCACAGAGCTTATCAGCACAATACTCACGGGGAAAAGTCAGTCCTCTGGCCTATGTTACTTTTCTTTGTTCTGAAAAGAAAAAAAAAGAAGAAGAAGAAGAAAGCCACTGACCCTGAAAATAGCTCCCTCTCTCTCTCTCTTGCCTTCTTCCTGGGCAATCCACTTGTCACCTTTCCCTTACTGCAGGGTGATAATTAATGTTCCACCCGAGAGGGGTTTCGTTATTCCATCAGAATTACCTATTAATTTGCTGGGTCCTTCTGATTACGCGGTGAACTTGTCAGCACCGGCTCATCGTTCTTGGAATGTGAAATATCCTTCCATTTTCAACAGGTAAATCAAGGCCTAAACCAACCTAGACATTTTCAATTTTCTCTCTTGACACGGCCCCCTCTGTTCTCACCACTGTGCATGTTCCACTTTTTAATAATGTCTTCTAAGTCCGGCACTATCTTGTGGAGCAAACTATTTTTGCTTCATAAAAAAGGCTTCTGTTGTTTCTACCTACTGTATAGAGGAAGGTGATCATTCCTCACACTGGCTTCTTAAATTAGAAAATTGAAAATTCCCTGCTCAAGGTGGGAAGGAGGCCTCATTCTAACATGCGTCTGATGATTTTCTCAAAGTACTTCTCCTGCTTGTGTGTTTGTGGGCCCTCCTGAAGCGCCCACACCTTGCAGTGCTTTTCTGCAAAAGTGTTGCTGACAGCTGCGTGGCTTCATCCTGCTGCCTCTCGGACTGTCTGAAACACAGCCTTCCTCTCCCCACTGTCTGCACTGAAAGAATCTGGTGAAAATCCACCATGGTCAGGGAAGAGAGGTTACCTGCACGCCCCGAGTTTCCTAAGTGCCCAGAGATGCACCCAGAAACCTAGGGAGAGCCAAGACCCTCAGGGACCAACCTGCTGGGACTCTGCCTGCTCACTGAGGTACCTTTGGTACAACCCTGGGAATCTTCAGTATCAGCTGCCAAGAGCTGCTATGCCCCTTTTCCAAACCAAAGTCCAGCAGACAGTAAGTGTCAACAGGCCTCAGTGATCATTCCTGTTAGTCACAGTC